AATGGTGAATATATTTGAGGGCCTCAATAATGAAACCTCATATAAATTTGTGGTTCCATTTTTAATACTCTATATTCTATAAATACTATTTATTTTTTATTTTAGTTCTTCTAGATTGATGTTTAAATTTATATAATTTTACGTGAGCAGCTTTATGATCTTATGTTAATATATCATATATATGTATGCAATAAATCATTCATGCATGTTGATATGTAATATTTAGACGGTATATATTATTTGGTGATCAATTTTAATATAGGGGTAATATATCGAATCATAATGGAATCAAAAACATTAACTAAATGTTTAACAAGCTTAAATAAAGAGTTTATTCGACATAACATTGATTCTATGTTAGTTTCCATCACCACCATCACTCTAGTCTAATGAGTGTCAGTTCAATATGTTTTAAAGTTATTAGTGCAATAAATGTAATTACATACATTGATTGTAGTTCATGATTGTAGTTCATTAACTTCAAGCATATCCAGGGGCGGATCCATATAGGAAATGGGTGTGGCACGAGCCACAGCCTGCGGATCCATATAGGAAATGGGTGTGGCACGAGCCACAGCCTAACTATTATATATTTCTTAGGATTTGTAATGCCAAAATCCTTCAATTATGTTTCTTTTGGGTAAAAACCTCTCAATTATTGATTCAGTGTATAAAACTCTCAAGTTACTTATCTTAATATAACAACCCCTCCGTTAACTTTTCAGTTTAAACAGAATGTTGTGTTTTTATTAGTTTGTAAACTACATGATTTCTTAATAAAACAACACAGCATTACGACTTTTGAGGCGTTAAAAAACAACACATCATTGACCTAAACTATTATGTAAATTACGTGTTTTAAAATCCTAAAACTATCGAGAGAAAGAGATGACAAGCCCTAATTTTTTTCAATTCTGCAGTTTTTGAGTTTCAGTTGTGAGATTTCGTGAGAGGGTGAATTATATAGAGATTTAAAGAGTTGTTTTGTGTTTCGTGTGTCTTGTACAAGCATACAAGTTCATGTCTCTACAACATCTCTAAAAACCAAAAGCTAGCTGAACATAGAATAATCATTCCCTAGAGACTAAAACAAGCAGACAAATTCATGTATATGAAGACCATAAAAGGACTAAACAAGCTTTGAACCTAACAATACTGATCTGATAAAAAACATTACTGAACCAAGTGAAAATCAATCTGGAAATGGAGGAGTTGAAAGAACGCAAGCATCCAACGTCGAGCTTTATTGAGGGAGACCACAAACATTACTCAATATATTGCTTCACATCACACCAGACTGACAAAGCCACGAGCTGGAAGCCTAGAACTAAGTGGAACACCAAGGAAGACGTAGAGAAGACCTGTTTAATCATACGACTTCAATAGGACGGGATGATAAGAGACCCCAAACTCCATATCCTGAGAAACAAGCCGGAGAATCTCTGCACACAAACAGAAATAAAAACCGGCAAGCAAGTGAACCATGTTACTCTTCTTTTGCTTTTTATAAGCTTCTTATTTACGTTGAAATTTTCAAGTTTGTGTGTATTCCAAATCAACAGATAATTATACACATAAGAACCAAAATAGCTGTATAAACTTTTGCCAAAATATGAATTTCATATAAATATGAAGCTTGTTTGTAACAAGTTACAAAACGTGAAGAACATAATCAGAGCCTACCTTGGCAAAAAAAAAAGTTGAAAAAAAGGTCAAAGCTAAACTAGATGATACTTAAATTATTAAGATGGCAAGGTAAAATCTCCAAGATGGCAAGGAGAGAAGAGAGTCTTCGAAGGAAATAGCTAGGCAGAGGTGACGTCACGGTGAAATTCTGTCCACTAACGGAAGAAGAGACTGCTCGGCAGGGACCCCAAGATGAAACATAATCTGTGGAGAAGAGACAAACTTAGACAAGTACCAACATGAGCCATATGAAGAGCAGGCAAAGCAGGAACAGAATTGGTTGCTTTAGCTTTCATGAACGAAGAAGAAGATTGGACAAATTCCTAAAAGAACTCTTAAATTTTTGATTTTGGAATTTTGGAATGAGATAAAGAAGAGAAACAAATGCTGTGACATTTCTGGTCTTAATTGAATTGCTGTGTTTTGAACTTGACTTGACATTTCACAGCTTCCAACGTCAGTGTAAACAGAGGGGTCGAGTTGTTAAGATAAGTGACTTGGGGGGTTTTATACATCAAATCAATAATTGAGGAGTTTTTACCCAAAGAGAACATAATTGAGGGATTTTGGCATTAAAAATCCTATTTCTTATGCAACTGAATACATAGAAGAAATTATGTAGCAATTCGGCTGTAAAGGCGAATGTGTGCCCCATGCAACCCAAGTTCGAACGATGTGTGCTGCGTTTTTGTTCTTAAATTCTAGGTTGCATAGAAACTCCGTTCAAGGTCCGTTTCCTATTTCGGAAACGTTTCAGAATTAGAATCTCTTGAAAACTCGAAGAAACTTTTTGGAAAAAATTTTATTTTAGAAACACGATGGAAACTCACGATTCTAATTAGAAACGTAAAAAATAACTATTTGGCATTTGATGTTAGTGATTATGTTTATTAGTATAATGATTTATTTTAGAATGAAGACGCTCCATAGTTTTATCGAATGATAACATGTGTTACTTTTCTAGTTATTGATTATAATTCTAGTAAAATGTACAAAAATATTTATATTACTTAATTTTTTTTCTTAGATAAATCAAACAAAAACAATAAGTTTACATGTTGATTAATCATACATATATATACACAAATTTATATATTATAGGCGTTTCTAAAACGTTTTTGTTTCTAAATTTTTTGAAAATCATGTTTCCACGTTTCAAAACGTTTCGTTTCCACTTATCCGTTTCCGATTCCATGTAACCTAGCTTAAATTATTCTACACATTATTTTTTATTTTAATATCTAAAACTATTCTTTGCATAACTGTTTAATGTTTTTAGTTACCTTTCCTAAAATATTTTCTTTTGATTTTACTACCTAAAAACTATTATTTTCATAACTGTTTTATTTTCTTTTTTAATATGATGAATTCTAATTATACCATAAGCTTGATGTCAGTTTTTAAATTTACTTTTAAAGAATGATTATTTTCATAAATACCTTATATTGATGATTAAAATGAGTAAACTAATTTTCTTAAATTCATTTATAAAAATGTATAAATCAAATCTCACCTCTTAATATTAAATCCTAAATAATAATCCATAAAGATAAATGTTAAAGTATTTTCTGTTGAAAGTATTTTGAGAATAATAACCATCTTAGAGTACTCCAACCTCTTTTTAATATATTTTTTTTCAAAATAAAATTTACTTTATTAAAGTTTAACTGTAACAATATTTTTATTAGGTTTATTTACAATACTTAAGAAAAAATAAATAAATAAAAGGGATATTTTATAATGAAATTACTATGTGCATATATAATTTTATGGTATTAGTGAAAATGAATATTTAAATTGCAAAAATTATTTTTGTATCTTTTATTCATTTTGAGAACAATTAATGAGTAATTTCTTGTAATATAATAATTTAATTTAATTTAATTTCTTAAATTATATTTAACATAACATAAATCTATTATCTATATATATTGTGCCCCATATTAATTTGTTTTCTAGTTCGCCCCTGAGCATATCATGATCCCACCGTACTTGGTTGTATTTGTGGAAACCTGTAAAAAATCTAAATTTGAAGGTAAATCAATAATATATATTAATGCGGATTATACTTAATTTTTCAAATAAATACAAACCATATGCGAACTGATTAATACGTTAAAATCGTAATAAACATATTTCAAGATCTTCCGATCGTTGATAACGAATTCGTTGTGCCTCAAATTTACACCCTAACTAAACGGAATACGAATCCATAAACTCTAAATCCTAAAACAATATAAAATTTATAATGTTGTATGTATATAAACGAATAGCCTATGAGAACATGGGATCATAAATTAATAGCACCAATACAGTTGTGTATATCTAAACCATATATAAACTTTAACTAACAATGGAACATAGATTTATAAATACTATGATTTGAAAATTATGATTTAAGTTCAAAGGATAACATCCTAAAGATTTTTATTAGAATAACCAGAGGATAAATTTAGATTGAGAAAGCGGTAATCAAAAATAATTTACGGAAACTAGTCTCACATTAGTCAGTTCAGCAAGTTAATTAGAGGCTAATCCTAGGTGTTTTGATGAGTCACATATGACTAGACATCCTAAGTAAATTTTGCTTAGTCACAATAGAGAACTTATCAACCAATGAAATTATAACGTTTTCACTTAACCGTATTCTCAATTAATAATATGATATTTGAACATTTTATTACCAAACCATAAGGATTGCCCGAACATGGTTACCAAACCAATATATATTCTTTTAAATTGCTCAATTGTATTAAACTTTAATTTCTATACCTCATAATTATTTTAATATTGATTATTTATAAACAAATATTTTTTATACATTTTAAAATAAAATTATTAGATCAAATTATAACGTAGACTTGGAATAAGTCTACCATGTTGAAGAGTCTACACCGTATAGACTTCTTTTGTAAAATGTGGGTAAACGACTTATTTCTACATCAAAAAAGTTGTATAGTAATAGTTCCACATAATTTTTCATGCGCGTCCTAACTGGACACGTTTTAAATATATGAATCTAATTAAACATATTTTAAAGATATAAACCTATTCACTCTCATTTTCAAAGATCAAAACCAAAAATCACAGACAAAGGTTTAACTTTGTTTTACTGGTTTAGAATTTAGACCGACATCAAACTAATGAAACCAATATCAAATTACTTGGTATCAAACTGACATTAAAATCTGACCCGGCAGCAAGCTAAAGCTACTTTCTTTAGTTTACCATAATACCTTTATCAGTTTTCCAGTTTTATAATTCATTCTTGATTAATCACTTGTAGGGTTTTCTTCTAGCCTCGTCCTCCCATAATGCGGTACAATTGGAGAAGAGCTGATTTACGAAGGTAAGGGAGATGATGGTGTCGCTGTTGGCACCGATGAAAATAACGGAAACAACAACAAAGCTCTTGAGAGCTCGCCTTTCAAGTCTTTAAAGGCAAGTTGTTGTGATATAAAATTAAAAAAAAATCCCATATGTGGACCAGTAACGGTCCTGAGGGAAAGTTAAGGAAGTATAGGTTTCCCGCCTTTTTATGTTAATATAAAATACTGGCCAAAATATTTGATAAAACAATAAGTAGTTTAGTGGTAATAAAAGTCAAAATAGAAATGTAGGTAATGTGTTCAATTCTTAGCTACAATAATAGGCTTTTTTATTAATTACTTCCAATCTATAAATATTCAGGGCTGTGGACAAATATCTTTACGCGTCTTAACGTTTATAGGCAGTTGTGGTACTTCATATTTTTGAACGCAAAGATGTAATGTAATCTGGATTTGATGTTATTCATGTCTTTCTTAGGTTCAGTTCAGGCATTATTTTCGTAGTTGTTTCTACTGATGTCTGACTTCTTAATTTATGGCCTTTCAGCAAGAGGGTAAGTGGATTTGATATGGCGCTCCCTGCTTCTGCAATGTTAGCTACTGTTGTTGCTGCCACAGGTATATGCTTCATCATCTACCCAACTTTAGTATATTCTTTAACTGCTTGTTGTTGTAGCTTTGTACTTGATGGTTGGTCTCTGCTTGTCCGGGAAAATAATTATTTCTGACCAACCCTCTTTGATTTTTCCTACTTGTTCCAGCAGGCCAGGTTCCTATGTGCCAGCTAGTGCTAATATTCCAGGGATGTTCCCCAACATCTTGCAATGGTCCATGGTCCGGAAAAGGTCATTTTTCGACCTCAACAGTTTTGATCTTGTGTTTTTATACCTGAAAAAAGAGTAAGTGTGAATTCATACTTAAACCGTTAAATTATTTAAAATTCCTACCCAAACTTAACAGCGTAATATAAAATCCTACGTTGACTAACTAAGCCGTTAGTCAATCGTGAATTCTGAATAGAAAGTTTAAAACGACGTCGTTTTCCGTTCCGAATTAAAATAATAATTATTCTAAAAAATAGTAGTTTCGGGGAATCGAACCCATGACTCACTTGAGCAACAAAGGAAACAAAGACCAGGTTCCTATGTGCCAGCTAGTGCTAATATTCCAGGGATGTTCCCCAACATCTTGCAATGGTCCATGGTCCGGAAAAGGTCATTTTTCGACCTCAACAGTTTTGATCTTGTGTTTTTATACCTGAAAAAAGAGTAAGTGTGAATTCATACCTAAACCGTTAAATTATTTAAAATTCCTACCCAAACTTAACAGCTAGTCAATCGTGAATTCTGAATAGAAAGTTTAAAACGACGTCGTTTTCCGTTCCGAATTGAAATAATAATTATTCTAAAAAATAGTAGTTTCGGGAAATTGAACCCATGACTCACTTGAGCAACAAAGGAAACAGAGACCACTGTGCTACTACTACTATATCAGTAATGTAACAGATTTATATTAGTTCAAAACATTTATAATCTTTTGAAATATATTAATATCTAATATTTGCTCCTCTTCAGGGTTCCTGCAAAGGTGAGGAGGCCAACTGACAACAACCCGTCCCTGGCTGCAGCTCTTGGCCCGATCCAGCCTAATCCCTGTCTCAACTTGGCGGCTGTTGGATTGTCTTCGGGGTCTACTGGTGGGCTCGAGGGTCCAGACCGAATTTTTGTGGGTGGGCTTCCTTATTACTTCACACTTCACAGAAGAACAAATCAGGGAGCTCTTGGAGTCTTTTGGACCCCTAAAAGGTTTCAACTTGGTTAAAGACAGGAAAACTGGAAACTCCAAGGGTTATGCCTTCTGTGTTTTCCAAGATCCTTTAGTGACAGATATTGCATGTGCGGCTCTAAACGGGATAAAGATGGGTGATAAGACGCTTATAGTGAGGCGTGCAGTCCAATGTGATTCAACCTAAACCTGAGCAAGAAGAAGTATTACTTCATGCTCAACAGCAGATTGCTTTGCAGATGAAGGATTTAGTTCATGCTTTGTCTCTATAAAGCGTCTGGATTTTACTACTGAACTTGTGTTACAGAGGCTTATGCTACAGCCGGGAGGCACGAGCACCAAGATTGTATGTTTGATTCAAGTGGTTACAGCTGATGATCTTGGAGACGATGAAGAATTTGAAGACATAATGGAAGACATGAGACAAGAAGGTGGAAAATTTGGTAAGCAATTTCAGTTTTTGTTGTATGTTCCTGACGTTTTGCCATTTGCACACACTCATGCTTTTTACATGATCCACACCCTTTTTTTTTGGTTACTCAATGTTGTGTGCGCAGGTAACTCGGTGAATGTTGTGATTCCTAGGCCCAATCTGGATCATGATCCCACACCAGGAGTTGGAAATGTCGTGTTTCAACTCTGAGAAACAGTTTGTTTTTTACTGAATTTATTATCACACCCCTCTAGCGATTATATTTATGTAATTTAATGCAGATTTTCTTAGAGTATGCGGATGTGGATGGCGCAGCAAAGGCAATATCCGGGATGAACGGAAGAAAATTTGGAGGAAACCAAGTGGTGGCTGTGTATTACCCCGAGAACAAGTATGCGCAAGGCGACTACGAACGCTGATCTTTCTTTAGTTTGGATCTTTTGTTTGTGTTAATCGTGTCTGGTTAATAATGGATATTCTTTGTCTAGAATATTACTACTGTACATTATTATCAATTTAGTACTTGTCTAGAAGACAACCAATGTGTGTTGGATAATTATAGCTTTTGGTTTTCTCTGAAACACCCTTAACTTATTATATATCACTTGTACCGGTCAGAAAGTTAAAACATCACCTGGTCATATACAAAAACAAAAGGAGTAAACTGAAAGTATATATGTTTTTTTGGCCCAGTGTCGGATTCAAGTAGATACATTTCAAATTTTGGAATTATATACAATCATGTAGAGTATATTAGTCAAATAGCACCAGTTCTTTAGTAGTAGAAACGTATCCTGCCACGGTAAAGAAGTGATTGTTGGGGTCCTTGGCACCCATAGAGTTTATAATGGGTTTTCATATTAAAATAATAAATAAATAGAAAAGGTAGAGATATAACTCTAATATTTGTATGCCATCAACTTCTGAATGGTTTGTTTTTTCTGAAAATGAATAAAATTTCATAGTATTTGTTTTCCTGGATTAAATTAGAGAATTATTTATAACTAATTATCATCTTATATATTAAAACAAAAGTCACAACCTTGATTCATGTGTTATATTTTATAAAATAGACCATCATTATAAATCAATTATCATTCATTTATTCTTAATGATATGGCTTAATAATAATTCATTCCTAATATAACAATCGTCTCCTATAAAACCGAATTAGTTAACAAGCACATATTTGATTCCTTAATAAATTATATATAGTGGATTGTAAACCATCGTAAAATTCAAAATACTGAACCTATTAAAATAATTCAACAACGTGTATATAATGGTTGTATAAACATCTTATCTTTTAAAATAGAAATCATGATTTCTTTTATGTGTGTTTTTTTTTTTCAAATTTGAACCATATTTTGAACTACTATTATTATAATATCTTTTGATATCTTTGCATTTTAAATATAAATATATATATTTTTAAATTTAACAAATCTGTTTAAAAAGGTTTTAAAAATATCTTAATATTCAAAAATTCAGAGTAAATATTTTAATAATTCATAATTATTTTTAAAATTTTATTATACATTAATATATTCTATAAAATATAGAATAAAATTTTTAACTAAATATGATAAATTATATTAAATTATTAAATTTATATATTTTATTTTCAGAAGTATTAATGTTCTAATTAATATGTTGGTCACAAAGGTTAACATTCGCAAGATATGTAACACATGTATAAAAATTAACATGTATTTTATTAAAGCTAATAATATAAAATATTTCTAATTATTTTAATCATGCTATATTTTCATTTTAATATAAATATAAATACATATATATATATATAATTCTAACAAATCTGTTGAAAAATATTTTAACAATATCTTAATTTTCAGGAAGTTTATGTAAATAGTTTAACTAATTGTGTAATTAGAAATGAACTATTATTATGCATTAATATATATTCAATTATCATTTATAAAATGAAACATAAAAATTATACTTATTTTATCTATTTTATAATAATAATTCATGTCAAAATAAAATGATAATATTGAATTAGATATGATAAATTATATTAAATTGATAAATTTATAATTTTATTTTTATTAATATAAAATATGTATGCTAAAAATATCAACGTTGACATAACGACTTAACATTTGCAAACTATATGATACATGTACATAAATTGACATATCTTAATATTTTGTATATACAAAAGATATATTTTTTAAATGAATAAACATGAAAAATATTGCTAAAAAGAAATGCGACTTTAAAGGTGGATAGGTCAGAATTGAATATAAATTTGATATAAAATAATTTCAAATATGTTGTTTCATACATATATTAATTTTTAATAATTAAATCAAAATATATTAACAAAAATATATAATAAAAAGCGACAAATGCATGTGATGGTTTTAAACTATTGGTTAATTACACGATATAAACAATAAACTTATTATATTTAAAATAGGTATATCCACATTTAAATATATGATTAATGTTAAAATTGCATAAAATTAATGAAATGGAATAATATATACATTTATAAAACTGAAAAAGAAAATCCACGCAGTTACGCGTATCAAAATCTAGTTATTTTTAAGATTAGAAACTATCTTTGAGATATTACCATGGAATTGCTCTTAGATCTCATAAAAGGTGTAGATTCAGATTTATTGTGCAAGCGAATGAAGTATATAGCAAACTCTTGCATGATGAGTATAGATATATTTAATACGCAAAGGAAGAAAATTATCTAAAATCCTATAAAAGTTATAAAATTTACAAATTTATATTTGGGTTTTGTCCACCCGACTCCCAACTGACCCAAACCTATTATGTCACCCATAAATCTGCTGTGAAGGTATGATTGTCTCTAACTCTGTTACATACATATATATGCTGATCAATTAAGTGCAACACTAGATTTTTGATCCACGCTTAAAAAGCGCGGATACCATTTTCATTGTTTTATCTACAAATATAACAATGAAAATGGTATACCTAATATAACTGTCACTACCTAATATAACTTTTTAAAATTAATGCAGATTTTAATTTATTGTTATCATCAATATCTAAGTAAATTTATTGTATGTAACTATGTAGTTTTATTTTGGGAAAATAATATCAACTAACTACGCCCAACCCGCAAAGAGAATATATTTTATCCACATCCGTTCCACTTAATTTTGCGAGTGATTCACGGGACCCGGGGATAATTAAAAGTTAATGTTAAATAGTATATTTTTAATAATTTTTTTAAATAAATAATTATTATAAAGGAAATTAGTATATTTTTGAAAAATAAACTTAAAAGAAAATTTTATTTTTACGGATTACTGGGTACCTGCAGTTGAAATTAGAACAATCTACATCCATCCCGCATAAAATACACTTGACCCGCACCCGTAACTTATTTTCAAATCGATATGTTCTGTGGCGGGTCAAACGGGGTGGGACTCATGGCTAATATCAAAATTCCAAGCTTTAACTACACCAATTAAGGTTGATGAGTTTATTTTTGAACGAAACTTCAGAAAATAATTAGAAGGTGAATTTAAGTCATTTATGAAACCCATTAGTATATAGTTTTTAGGCCCATAAAAAACTAAATTACCATTAATGAAAAATAATTTTATTCATAAAAATAAAAATATAATTGGAAAACATAAAAAAAAATCATTAAACAGAATGTTTATGTTTTAATGATATTGATATACTATCTTCATGAAAAATTCCACAAACAATGATTTCACAGTGAAAGTCTCTCTGAATCACTTAAATCGACGGAATGTACTGCATATACGATACTCTAGATGAACATGCTCACTCTGCAGCAGACGACCATAATGAACGACCATAATGAACAGCTATATCTGCAATATTCTGGAACTTCCTGATAAAGATTACATTCTATAATCTGTAAGAAATTATGTTGTTTAGGCTTCGAAACTTCAGACTTGCGTGTGTTAACCAGTAGTCTTTAAACTTTAACCACTAGATAGTATTTGATTTATCAAGCGAAAGATGTTTGATTATGATCCAGTTGCTTAAAATAATACCTTTCCGTTAAATCTGTATAACCACATAGCTAATGCATATGTGTGTAGAAACAAGATTTGCATGAGTACCAGACTTTGCATAAATCAAGGCAAAGGCGAAGGGGGTTATACAAACCCAATTCACTTTATAGAAACAATACATTTGGAGAAAAAAACAGAAACAAGATTTGGTCTTCCAAATGATAACTTATTACATTTTAGAACAATACTGAAGAGAAGAAAAAACTTGTCCTGCAAGTAAACTGAGAATACAAACCGGTTCAGATAACATGTTCAAGCAAACCGGTTCCCCTGAATCTCTCTTCCATCAATCCATCGATTCGAGCAGCCATCTCCGGAGTCAAGTAGTTGCTCCAGTCTCCAACCTTTCCCTTTCTAAAATATGCGCTTTTGGGATATAACTTAGAAGGAATGTCTTGTCTCCCTTTGATGCCTTCTCGGTCTTTCTCTCCTTTGTTGACTTCAAGATTCTTCAACGTCTCAAAGCTGCAAAGATTCACAACTTCCTCAGCAATCCCTTTCTCCTCTTCCTCAGCTGTGAATCCATAACCCATAAACTCAGCCAATCTCTTCACGTACGGAAAAGTATCACCTCTGATCGTCTCGTACTTGAGGAACAAAATCTGATCAGGATTCTCTTGGTAAGCTTTCCAATACGACATGACATGATCTATGTAAGGACCATACAAAGAAAGACCTCGACAGAACATGTCAAAAGACTCCTCTAGACTATTGAGAGGGCCATTATTTTCTGACCTTTCCTTTTGGAAGAAAGTCCACATGGACACAAATGTATCCTTGGGGTCTCTCCAAATGTAAACCATCTTAGAACCAGACTTCGAAATTGATTCGGGTAGTAATCCGTACGGGATATGAGTCGCGAAAAGAGTGTTCCCATTGTCATTGACAACACCATCAACTTGAGGGACCAAAGAGAGTTCGCCCTCAATGAAAGGAACAAGATCATGAGGGTTACTTTTTAGGAGAGGGTTTGAGGAATGGTCAAAGCAAGAGCGATTGGCGATAGCGAAAGTTAGAGCTTTGAGCCAAGTGGTACCTGACTTTGGGTAGCTACAAACAAAAAAGTCAATGGGTCGTGCTTGGAAGAAGTCTTGCGCATGAAGCCAACCTTCAAGGAGAGGCTGCACTATCCAGTGACCACCGTACTCGATCAGTGGAACTTTCGGCCTCCAGCCATTGGCGTGAGGAAGCGAGGCGATTAGGTCTCGGTACCGTTTCTGATTCCTCTCGAACTCGCTTGACTCTTTCTCGGTCGCGTCATGGTGGTTCGATAAGGTCGCATCGTTAAGGGTTTCTGATGCCATTGGAGACAGAGAAAGAGGATGTGAGGAGTGGTCTTGCTTTATGTGGAGAGATGAGTT